TTTTTGGAATCTGAAAATACATTATATTTTGCAAAACTGTGAAGCATTTCAGAAAAAAATTAAAGGGCTCTTTACCTTAAATTTGTTTCAAAAAATTTTGTTAAAAATCATGACTAAATCGTGAATCGTATCGAATCGTGAGTCAGGTGAATCATTACTTCTCTATAAGTCAGCACAGCCTATAGCATCCTTCTTAGTACTGAATCAGATCTGCCTTTTCCTGTAGAGGGACAAAGAACAAATCAATGGTGTTAGGATTCGCAACAAATCAACAAAACACCAACGATCACGTCACCACTCACTAATTCAGACTGTAGATTGATTTTAAGCAACAGAACATTAGCAACTCCCATCTCAAGTGCACTCACTAAAACTGCACTACCAATGCCACATTGTCTGGTCACTGAACTGGCTCGAGGGCCTATACCATCAGGATAACAGAGCACTAATTGATTTTGACTATTTTGACCAATACTTTGGCCACAGATGTTCGGGTACCCGTCACCCAACTTGGTAAATGATTTAATCAGCTAACCATGGGGCCTTACAGGATTTTCAGCGGGAACCACCTCACGAGACTTTAGAATGACTCCCTGGTCTTGCGTTAGTCATATGGGACATCCTGGCAAGAGACAAAGAGATCTCTGGAAATTAATGTATACGAATGAAAGACAATCTCTCGTGTATCGACGATAGGGAAAGAATTGCCAAGAGCTGAAACCTATGACGATTTTACAGACGATATTTAGCTCGTTTCGCATTAATGTAGAACTATTACATGTTTTAATTACATTATTAAATAAAATGAATAGTATTTTTATTTTTAATCATCAACAATAATAATAAATGAACTACAAATAATTTGACAGCTTCAGCTGTTCACATCAACATCACTTGACCGACACTTTCCGCTCTGTTTCTCTCTCACCTCTCATAGCAAATAAGTTTGCAACTTTTGTTGCATAAAAATAATAGGCTAAATAACAAAACTGTTTAAATTTTTAAATAAAATTGAATTAACAAACAAGTTAAATAAAACGATAAAAAAACAACTGAAAATGAAAGAACTAAGAGCTGAAACCAGCTTAAATGTTCTGCAATAAAATGTGTTGCGGTAATTTAATAAACAATCGTTTGTAATTTAGGACTCCTTTGTGACAGTACTACCGGAAGATTCTCTTTTTACAAAAAAAGTTATTTATCTTTTATATCCGGTATTAATAGCCTATTTAAGTTTTAAGGTGGCCTATAATCTATTTTCAGTGCATGCATTGACTGCTCCTTCAAATATACGAAATACACATGAGATATTGTTTTGTGTTTAATTCGATGGTATGATAAACATGGACATGCGCATTCTTCAGAAAATAACCTATTTATTTAATTTAAAAATATGTTAGAGCTATACTTATTTATAGGCTATTAAAATAGGCTATATTTTATTTATTTATTTAAACTAGACTATATTATATTCAATTACAATCTATATTTTACCATTCGTTTAGGCTTTAACAAATTATTGAACAGATTATTAATAACTTATCAAAGAATATTTTACTGAGCTCAGTGAAAAGTTTTGTATAGATCAAATCGGCTATTTAATACAAAAGGCTATTGCCAAAATGAAACTCTTATTAGAAAAACAATAAACACATATGCCAAGAGCAACATTGTGTTAGATGTCAGCAAATACAAATGTGACACTGTTGATGATCACTTTAGTGATGATTAGACCTGAAGCTACGATTCGCTTTACTGAACAAAAACATGGAAAACTCGTGCAGGTGGCGAGTCCTCCATCCACCTCCAGTCTGAAAGGACCCTAATGCATCCTTGTTTCTTCCGTGCCGTGCGTAGATAAATATAATTTCATTTGCTTTCATCCATGTATATTATATCCATTTTGCTGCAGTTTTGCAGGCCGCGGATAATGGAAAGAACCTGAAGTCACAATCAAATCCTGTCCTGCGCTGCACTGTTGCATTGAGTCTTGTTTGAAATCATTTTGGTCTCAGCACCTATTCAGCTGTAAGAGCGGTGTACATGAAAAACTAGAAGTACAAACAGTATTTGTCTTGTAACATTTGAAGTAAGATAGTTACAAGCTTACAAGAGATTTTACCACGTGAAATCAACATTCGTTCATTCATTTATTCATTCATTTTCTTTTCGGCTTAGTTCCTTTATTAATCTGGGGTCGCCACAGCGGAATGAACCAACAACTTATCCAGCACGTTTTTACACAGCGGATGCCCTTCCAGCCGCAACCCATCACTGGGAAACATCCACAAACACTCATACACTACGAACAATTCTGCCTACCCAATTAATCAACAATTAAGCAACAGCACTACCCACTGCGCCTCTGCTTCGCCTGAAATCAACATGCAGTCTGTTAATGATTGACCCTTACTTCGATGGTACAGGGCATGGCCCCGCCCTTCATGGCAACTGTTTATTGGAAGATGGACCAAACCAGGTCACTTAAAAGCATCCTGCAACATGAAAACATTACTTTTTGCATTAGCTGGCTCACGCTCGCTGTTGCTCTTTGCTTCCTCTCGCCTGTCCAGACACTGCGCCGCCATGCGATTGGGTCATCACAAACTTTCAATGCAAACCTCTTAAGTTTCCGGAATGCCGAAACCACACGAACTTCTGCAAATCGACTCTCAGCAGTCCGTCAACTAGATAACCTAGGACGACAGCCACTCACAAGCAAAGGAATCCCAAAGACGTCACCGAAGCGAGTCACCGCGCAATCAGGAGCACTGTGCTTCCCTGAGGCCAGCCCGGCAAGGGAAACTCGACTTCCGCAAATGCACAAGTAACAAACAAACGCTGTCTCTTGCTGATCTGGTGCAGATTGATCTTAAGCAGTTAAAGATAAGCCAAAACCCTGCTCTTGTGGTTTCTCAGGTCTGATTTTTAAGATCTAGTAAGAAGTACTAGAATTCATTTGTGGCAGCTGTCAACTTATTTTGCATCCTCTGAACTGCCTTTGTGTGTATGTGTGAATGTGTGTGTGTGCGTTTGTTTGTTGTTTGCTTATTACGTAGTTAGTTTCATGTATCAAAGTGTAGCTCAATAAATCTTTGTTCTCATTTTGTAAGAACTGTGTTCGTGTTTATGCACTTCTAAGTCATATCCTCGAGCTGTAGATTTTGTTTCCTTGCTAAAAGTTAACCCAATACTGTGTTATGTTATTATTGTTGAAAAAGGAAATAATATAAACGAGATCGGTAAGATACAATGTCTTCTATTTGCTGGACAAATGGTAGATAAAGTGTGAATCTTTTGATCTGATTGAATCCGATTCATTGAAATGAGCTAAGAAATCCCTGATCGATCTTTTAATGTAGGTTGATCCCCTACAATAGTGAAAACGTTGTTGATAGTGATGTTAGGGGCTCGAGACGACTTTAAATGCTAAAATCATGAACACCATACACAGACTCAGTTACTAGATCAGCAGCAAGTGGCTCTGAAGCGTAATAACTACAAAAACAAGAAAGGCAAAAAAGTTGCAGGTCCACAACCTACCCAACAACTAGTATAAATAGGGCAAATACTTGCTTAGGATGCAAGAAGTCACTCACACAAAAGCAAATCCAGATAAATCACGAAATAAACGGTGTGGCCACTTCTTTCCACACTAAACAGCTGAAAAACATAATCAAACAATTTAGGAATAGTCCTCAATTATGTTACAGCCACAGTCATAACACAAATAAGGGTAAACCAAAAGGGATCAGTCCAGGGTTATTTATTAAAATAAGAAATTTATAACAAAGTATGGAAGGAATCAAAATAAAACTAAGGCTGATCACAAATAAAAGAACAACTCAAAGAAAGTAATCAAAAACTGTTGAGGGCAACAAAATAGCAAAAATAAAAAATCAAATACATGGACATGTAACAATGACCAATATGATCAGTCTGGATTGGTCAAGAGACCCGAAAGTCAGCAGACTTTACTAAGTTACCATATGCAAAAAACAATTAATTACATGGGCTACCATCTCTCTCATGACTTCGATCTTACTACTTTGAAAAATAGAAAATTGTCTACCTTTGACTGCTCTGGGCAAACAAAGTGCCACTTTAAGCCATTGAACAAGAAGTGCAGTCAGGCTGGATACAGAAATCCAACTTGACTTCAGAGATTCCCCAGCAGCTGTGGACGCACTTCCCCAAATGCTGCACAGACGTGAGCTACCTTTGAGGTCAGGTCAGAAAAAGAAGAATCAGACATGTCTTTTTTTTTAATCATAGTGACATTGCCACATCGCCCTGTACTGTGGCCACAGTATTAGAAAAAATTAGTTTTTACAGCTTGCAGCTCACATGTAATTGTTGACAGATCGTCAGCCAGTACAGTTTGCAACTCGGGGCACAGAATCCCTGCAATATCATTGCATAGAGAAGATAAAAGTTCAGCTTTAAGAGCTGTGTTGTCGACTGGGAGCTCCATATGCACCTCTGGGCTATCAGGGCTGAGGCAAAGCGAGCCCATCAGAAAGTACAGGCTGCTGATGAGACTATGATGGATTAGCAGCTTTACTGGGTTTGTTCTTAATATTTCAACATATAAACAAGTGAGTTTTTATGGACATTAAGTAAACAACGCTTGTAGGCTTGTTGGAGGGAACAAAAAAGGCTAAAGACTGAAATATTGATATGCATGCTGCAGGAGAAACTGAAAACGCGACTTACATCTTAGCTCCTCAAACCAGAAGTCTTAAATAGTCTTATAATTACTATAAGTAAACACATTTAGACTAAAGATATGTGAGGAAAAATCTTTACGGACTTATAATTCTAGCCGTATTTGGTGTACCCAATAATACATCAGCAGTTTTGGTTCAAGAGGATGGGCATGCTGATATCTCAAGGGAGTATTTGAGATCTTTATGACTACTGGAGACTCTTTCAGACAGAGTTGAGGAGGCAGTATGAGATGCTGGACACCTGAGAGAGAATACAAGTGTACATCTTACCAAACCAACCGGAGATAGGCTCTTTTGAGGAAGAGAGGACAATGATCTCTGTAGGACACCTTACTCTTTATCTTTTCATGGAGGATCGATGTAGGACAAAGTTTTTCAGCATTTCATCTTCTTCAGCGTTCCTATAGTGCAGAGGTAAAGACTCCAGATTCCTCCAGAGTGGAAACTGAAAAATAAAATATACTGTATTACTGCTTTTCTTGTACTATTGTGCTATTTTGCATTCTGGGTCTCTTGCAGCTAAAAGAATGTATACAATTGTTAATGTTGCTAATCTATGTACATAACTGGAAAAAAGTTTAGTCTTTAATGTTATTGGTAGACTTCTCTTCTGCCCACATCATTACAGTAAAACAGAAAATAAATAATAATAAATAATAAGTAAATAATTGCTTTCTGCTTCAAAGCTGTACTTCTAACATCATGGCATAAGTCCTGTTCAATGTCACATGATCCTCCAGAAATCACTCTTAATAACCTGAACATAGTTTTGTTAATTATTACCATATATTAATTAATTTAATCCATTTTAATTAATTGTATTATTTTTATTTTCATGTTTCTTTTATTCTTGTTCATGTAAAGAACTTTGAATTACCATTGTGTATGAAATGTGCTGTATAAATAAACTTGCCTTGTCTACCCGTTTAAGCCAAAAGAGATGTTTTTCGGGATGCTATTAAAATGTTTTTAAAATCAATAAAATTCCTAAAACTCATTGGCCAAATTATATACTGTATTTGCTTTTATTTTATAACAATTGCATGATTTTTTTCTATTAATACGCTGTTGTCGTTGACACACACAAGGCACTTTATTTTTTACTTATTTTGGTATTGTTTATAAATGCCTCTTCAAAGTTTTTTTTAAACTAAAATAAATTTAACAAAATCTCATTTTAAACGATTATGTTATTTGTGCAGACCATTTCAGACAAAACTGGCTAATTAGAAGGCAACGCTAAGCTACACTGTAAGCTATTTGCCTCTCTTGCCACTGTTACCACATCACAATACAGAACATTACCCTTTTTAGATATTGTCTTTAAAAGGTAAAGTGTAAAGAAAATACTGCACAACCAGATAATTATTAACTCTTAAGATTACATTTAGCTCTGCGGAGTGGAAAAAAATCCTCAGATCTCATTAGTAACTCATTGAAAGGTAGATTTTTACCAAAAGGTGAGCTGTCTGCATTGATTTTATTAATGACACTGACACAAACCAACAGGTACACCAAACTTCAAAATGTTACTATACAACAGACTATTAATCAGCACAGCTGTTTTTATAAATGACAAACAAAAATTATATTTCTTTGTTGTCATATCCACTTTTTTACTGATTTGTTAAAGGGGTGGTCCAGAATGTAATTTTAAGGCTTGGTTGTGTTTATAAGATGCAAAGCAATGTGTGCTCATGTTTCACTTGAAGGAAATCGCGTTATTTTTTCATATATCTCACTTTGATTATACACAGCTACTCAGCTAACATGAAAACGACTGATATATTTCCTAGTTCCTCTGAAAGGCCCGCCCTCAAGTGACTCTGATTGGTCATCGTCATAATGTGCTGCGATTTGCGGATCGGCTCCACATCACGCCCGTACAAGCACACGCTTTTCTGCTGTGTAAACCTCAATCAACCTCCTCCCTGCTCACTAAAATAAAACCTGACAAGTCTCTGTAACAAGTGAAAATGGGGTGCGGCTCCTTTAAGAGCGTTTGGCATTGTGTGTGCGTGAATGTGTGAACTTTCTGCAACAAGCGCATGTGCACTGGAGTTTTTTTTCTTTTTCTCTGATGCTCGGATTAAGTTATTTTCTGTAATATATCGTGAAAGAAGAATAAAGCACAAGATGTGGGATGCGACCTGTGTGAGCCTTGATTTATTTCTTAGCTGCTACCACGAGTTATTTGAGCTACCCTGTCTTTTTTTAACTCAACATGTTACACAACGTCTTTCACATGTATCCAGAATATGTAGGTGTAAGTCACATGAATCATCCACATATCTTTTGCGACTACATTATCTGAGATGTGAAAAGCTGCCTAAAGACAATCAATGCAGTCGCACACATACATAGACACGAACGTGCTGGTGAAGTGTGTGTGTGTTTACAGCAGTTTGGCTGATAAATATGAAATTGTAGCTAAATTGTCTGCGGTGCAAAGCAGCATTTCCCATTGTTTACATCGTTGCTACAGCTTACCGTTAATGCTAGACACTGTACATGTCATGATCAATTTTAACAAATAAAAACACTTACAGGTTGAAGTTCACAGCTTCTGCTTTGAGGAGATTTTAACCGAATCCAGCACTTAACTAGGAGAGATTCTGGAGCTGTTTTGTCAAATCATGCTTGCTATGTATTTTATAATTCTCTGGAACATAATTAATATTGAACTGTAAGCACTTCTGTCTTTGTGTCATGTCCTTTGGAAACCCAAATACAGAAACAGACGAAGCTCTGTGGAAACAGCACTGTTTGGACGCATTTTTATCTATATATATGAGCTATATCACACGAGTAGCAGGAGCAGATATTCCTACTGGCCTTTATGCGTTTGTCCCAAGTGCTGTCGACTACACACATGCCAGTCAATGACAATGAGTAGGCAAAAGAAAAAGAAAAACACACTCAAACATCTGTCGCAAAATAAAATGTTACATTATTAAAATAAAAGAATGATACAGCAGTAGAGCGACCATCACACACTTCTCAGAGCTCCCCAGAACTGAACTGAACTCCCATAATTGCGTGCTTACATCTTAAAAAGGTAAAACTACCACAAAAGAAGTCCTCTTATAGGGGACATTTATACACAAGGCATATCAAACATTAAATGACTGTTACAATATCACAATAATTAACCTTGAAAAAAGCAGCGCAATCACTACCAGACGGCTGTTGTGTTTGCGATAAGGAAGAACGAGGCTGAATCAGCCTAATTCACAACTTCTTATTGATTCTATCCAGTCCACCTTAAAAACTGCAACACTTCCGGTTTTCAGCTTTGCACTCAAGAAAACTCACAACAGTTTTAATCTAAGCAAGGGCTTATTATGTGGCCCTGGTGCCCTCTTGTGGATAGACAACCGTCTTTGTCTACTACACTATGGCAGGCTGATGGCTGCCAACGAGTTCTCTCAGAAATTGTGAATAATTTAAAATAGGCACTATTCTTACAAATAAACTGCATAGTTGCAATCTAAACAACTACATTCTTTACTAATAAAGCCTCAAAAGTACATTTTGTTGTGATGTTACTGGCAAAATATTGCACGGCCAATCAGATTCAAGAACCAGACAGAACTGCTGTATAAATATAATAATAAATAAAAGATTTCCCATGTATTAAATAAATAAAATATGTACAGGCTATTTTACTAATTTTACTATTATAATAAGTCATAATTGGAAAAAATATGATACAACACAAGATGTCTGACTGATCTCACTCTGATATGCAGTTAAATAAGAACATTCACTGAGTGGTTCTGTCATTAGCTATGATTCCATCCACCTATTTATATGCACATTTTGCATATGCGCATAAAAAATGGTTGATAGAAACGCCAAGATGTGCATAAATTTTGAAAATGCGCATAAAAAACCTATGCGCATAACTGAGTAGGATAAACTTTTTATTCAATAAGAAAAGATGCGCAAAAACTACGATGGAAACACTTTTACCGCACAAACTCCAGGATAAGAGATCATGTGTTGATAAATAAAATGTGTGTGAATGGATAAACCAGCAGGCTGAGCACATTATAAAACATCTGAAATGTTTTGGTCATTCTTAAACGCCTTACCGTTTCAGTATTAGTGTTATTATATTATTAATGACCTCCCGAATCAAGAGCGCCTGTGCTCTGCATCTGACACCTTCAAACGCCACCGCGTGTTCACTACATGTCAGGATTGCCTTCTGAGGTACAGTAATTTATTAGATGAAGAAAAGATTGATGCTGCTTCTCCTACTGAAGCAAATTTTGTTTTTATTGTTTATATTTGGTGCCAGTTAATCAAGAAGTGACGATTTTGTTCGCTTTGACTTATTAGATGGAAACGCAGCTTTATTCGCACGTTTTTCATGCAATAATCCAGTTTTGTGCATAAAGTTCATTCACATACTTTGGATGGAAACAAAGCTACTGTGTTTAATCCTGTGCAAGTCAACACCACAGTCTACCTGAGTATTGCTGCAGACCAAGTCTATCCCTTTATGACTACAGTGTACCCATCTTCTGATGGCTTTTTCCGGAAGAATAACGCACCAATGTCATAAAGCGAGAATCATCTCAGACTGGTTTCTTGAACATGACAATGAGTTCACTGTACTCAAATGGCCTCTACAGTTACCAGACCTCAATCCAATAGTGCACCTTTGGGATGTGATGGAACAGGAAATTTGCATCATGGATGTGTAGCTGACAAATCTGTGGCAACTGCGTGATGCTATCATGTCAATTTGGAGCAAAATCTCTGAAGAATATTTCCAGTACCTTGTTTAATCTATGCCACAAAGGATTAAGGCAGTCCGGAAGGCAAAAGGGGGTCCAATCAGGTACTAGTAAGGGTCCGTGTGCGTATACCTAATAAAACAGCCAGTGAGTGTACTATACAACTGACTTTTACTTAACTTCAGTGATTTAATTCAGTGATGAGTAATGAGGACACAAAGCACAGTTGTATTTCTCTATTACTAAACACAGAGACTCATCAGCTCTATGAACTAAACTTAGCGTGTTTGTAAAATAAGACATGCAGAATGTACATAGCTGTGAATCTCAGGACCAGGAATGAAAAACACTGTCCTAAAGGTATTCACTCAGCTATCAGTAATCCAGTTCAACTCTGTAGATTACCTGACTCTTAGTGCTGCCCGTACGGCTGGATACTGCTCACAAAAAATTCAATAAAGACAAAGGAAGTCCCAGCATTTCATCACATCCAGGACAACAGAGAGGCCTGAAAGATATATATTGGATTTATAAAAAGTTTTAATTAATTTAACTTTGTCTAAATTACACTAAAATAAGGAGACTCACCAGTCGCCATAAAGCAAACTTTCGTGATGGCCAATCGCTTGATCCTGTATCACTTGGTTTGGATAAATGGTTGTATAAATGGTATGGTACTAAAAAAATTATGCATAAATACTGAGAACAGCACCACTGTTTATATCAAAATTTCAGCTCTAAACAAGTTAGAAAGCAACTAAGTAACTTACCAGTTCTCCACATAAAATTTAAAGCATGAGTGATTTACTGAATCACTGACACCTCTGGCTAAATGACAAGCAACACCACAAAAGAGAAAGAGCTTTAAAACTATTGGTTAATTTACGATTTGTTAGAACTAACGTTACTGATTGTGATGTGTTTGTGAATGAAACCAGAGTATGAAGGTGAAAACAGGTAACGCGCTAATAATAGCATTTAACATGAAGAAACAGGTAGCTGAGTTAATGTTTTTAATTTGACAAAGTCTGCCAAAATTACCTTTACTGTGTTCAGCGGTCAACATTAAATTACCTCCAAGCAATTATCTTCTGTATAATGTAATTAAGTTAATATCTTAATCTGTGTCGCATAACGTCCAGTAACTAACGATACATAAACATAATGTGAAAAGCGCCAGAGAACAAGCGAAATTCACCACGTTTTCAAGCATCAAAATCTGTACTGTCGTTTCAGTAAAGCTATTAAAAGTGATTATTTTGCTGTTTGTCGTGTTAGGCGACACGTTAAACTGTAAATACAGAATCATGTCAAGATTTTTAAGTTAATGTTCAAGTTACCTCAAACTGCTTCAGGGAGTTTTGTGCAAAAGAACATTTATTTTTAAAATTACTTACAAAATTACAAAACTGTTAACTAGTGACACTTTACGTTACACGGCCATAATTGAGAAATAAATGTCGATTTAGTAAGAGTTTACGTTATCTCTTGCTCCCATAAGTTCTTCCCTGTCCTCTTGTTTGGTTAAAAACGACGCCGCTGCGCATGCGCACTTGCGCAGATCTCCAACAGTCAGCCTCGAATGCGTTTATTAATATTTTTAAAGGAAAAATAAACATCACATCAAGATGACACAAAAAATCATTATTACATGTGGCTTTTGTTCATCGTTGTTGTTATTATTAATATAGTGTATTAATTTTAACAAAATTAACATTTTGGATTAATAACGCATTATTAAAAGTTGAAGTATGATTATAAATGCTGTACAAGTGTTGTTTATTATTAGTTAATTTTAATAAATATACTAAGGTTATATTATTATAGCTGTCTTCAAAAGATCAGATATAGACATTGTCACTTTTCTGCCTTACAAAAGCAAAAGACCTTTACTCACAACACTTCGAGTGTTGAATTGAGAAAAATGACTTCAAAGATTTTTTTGTTGCCCATACAAATTAGTAAAAGACAGGACATTGGAAAATGTTTAAGTAATGACATTTATCTACATGAAAAAACCCTTAAGCTCAAACTTGACCTTTAACCCCTATTTTGAAGTTGCTGTCCTCTGCCTTTGTAAAAGGGACTTTGATTGTATCCATAAATGTATACATGTATATATCTATGGATTGTATCAAAGAGCATAGATCCTGGAAATTGTGTTGTTCCCACAATTTCTCACCACATAAATGCATCTTATGGAACAACTCTGACATTAGAATTAGAAATAAATGTATTTTTCTATCCACGTGATTTAACAAAAATATAATTGGTATTCTCTCACTTTTTGATAAGTCTGGCAACTTCTTGTCTTATGAACAATTTATGTCCAATAATAATTTTCCATTACCTTTTAAAGAATTTAATGCTGTGCAAAAAGCAATTTCTGTAGCCCTAATTCAACTTATAAAATCTCATTTAATGTTTAATGAAAATGTTATTAAAGAACCAGAGCTGATCTAAAATGGAGTTAGTATATTTGACAAAAAATGTAATAATAAATATATTCAACAAATCTTTCAAATTAAAAAGTATAATGTTCCTAAGAGCAAATTTTACTGCATCCTTCATTGACCTACACTGTAAAAAATGTTACTTAGATCTAACTTATAAAAAGTGAGGCAAGTGGTTGCATCGGACGTTTTAGGTTGATTCAACTTCCAGCCTTTTTTAAGTATTTTAAACACTAAAACATTGCTTAAAACAAATGCAATAAAATTAAGTTGAGCCAACTAATATTTCTAAAATTACTCAAATCAGATAAACTTACTTTTTTTGTTAAACTTAACTTACTTATACATTGCTATATGTTGACTGTACTCATTTTAATTAAGTATTATGAACTTAATGATCTAAATAAAATTAACCATGCATATGTCATTTAAAACTAATTTAATTGACTTCTGGCTGTAACCTCAGAAAATAAATCTTCGTTTCTATATTGTAAGCACAATATACACTAGTAAAAACAGATAAACAGACTTTCCTGTCAATAACAATTAAATAAGAATGGGAAGATGGATTAAAGACCATAACATGTATTCAATATCAATCGATGTTCCTTTTAATAGTGACTACAAAATAGGCCATTAATGTGGCTACACATACACAATACATAAATAAAAACATTAATAATACCAGATCCTATTGAGAAATCATCCAAGGCAACTCAGTGAGGAGATTTGCATATTTTGATGAAGATTTAGGATGCATAATGTCCAGTCCCACAAAGAGTCTCTAATATATCTCAAATGTATACAGTTTTGATGGATACTTGAAGTCGAGGACATCGGTAAGTCCAAACAGGAGCCATCATGCATTTGACAGGTTTGGCAAACCTCTGACAGTCCTATGATAATCCAAACTGTGTTGGGCTGATGGCAAATTTTTCCCGTGGGCAGCCGCATGCACCTCTGATTCCTCACAACTCTATTGGTAGAGACAAAAAGAAACAGGAGTTCAGGTGGTTGCTACCAAACAACATTAAATAGCTAAATACTGAATAGGAAATAACTACAAGTGAAGTTACAAAAGTCCAGTGAGAATGATGCATGGATGAAACACCTTAGTTTATCAGTTAAAAATTACCTTAGTTAAAATTACCTAACTTCTATTTAAAAAATAAAAAAGGTTATAGAGGTTGTGTAATTACATTATTCCATGTGTTTTTAGTTATCAAATTTTAAAGAAAACTGTGATTTTACTCAGTGTAACAGTGCATGTCATTGTGTTTTCCTGTCAATCAAAGAATTGTTAAAATTTAGGTATTACATTTTTTGTTTATTTTGGCAACTTATAAAGCATAAGAATGTGTATTTAATTTAGATATTAAAACTGTTTGAAAATGGCTATATGAAAATTATAGAATACAAGTTCTATAATTTAAATGTCATCTTCATTTTGCACCAAACTTTGCACGTCATAATACAAATTTTATTAAATAAATAAATAAATACATTGCCATTTTACACATTACATTAAGGTTTACATTAAATTTTTGCTAAAGCTACATTTAATTGACTTTTTCTTCAAATTTAATGTCACTGGCAAATGACAGTTCAGTGATTCAGTGTTATCAGTTAGCTTTATTGAAAGACTGACAGATAATAAGAAACTGCATTAGGATATTTTTATACTGTTTTTACTGTTGCACACATAATATCTGTGTAAAAAAAAACAGTAAAAAATTACTGTTGCACTTCAGATATCAAATGTAAGTTAATTCTATGGAGCCCACTATTGTTTGCAATTTTACCAATGTTTTACTAGCCTGCAAATAATTATAGCTGTAGTTGTATCTAATGTTTTTCTTACCTGGATGTGAAGTTTGAAGATCCACAGGTAACAAAATCACTTTGGTATCTAAAGACCAAGAACATGCATTTTAGAATGAGGTGCATACAGTTTAAATGGTTCTGTAAACATCAGTAGTAAATGTAATTTAAGTTAAAATAAATTGTAAATCTGTAATTTATTCACTATGCAGCATTAAAAAACTTATGGACTAAATCTCTAAAACACAAACTTTAAGTTATACTTTCTCTTACGTTAAACACACACTACTTAACTGTTGCATACGTTTCTGAATTTAATATCCATCCTTAATGTGCTGCTATAACTTAGGTGAGCTAACTTTAGCTAAGTTAGCGCTAGCAAACTGAACCCCCACACCCCGACCGCCCACCAGTGACCTTGTTAATCGGTTCTGCAACGTTAGTTATACCTACTAAGTGTTTTAAAACTACTTTCACTATTTTTTCTCAATAATATCACTTTTAATCATTAGCATAAACTAGCGTTGGTTAGCGTTAGCCAACTTAGCTTTCCATGTGAGAGCAGTCTAACTGTTAACATACCTGAGGCTACAGTACAATTTACAAAGCTAAAACCTCACCTGCCTAGCAAAGACAGCAGTTTTGCATGACTTTACAATTATCATTCGGCTAAATTTGCAACTTACCGTGTTAATCAGATCCGCTGCTGGGAGCAGTTAATGTCGACCATTGCAGAAGCTGCGTCTGCCTGCTAAATCCCGGGCAATGAAAAAGGAGTCACGCAAAACTATAAAAATCACGTTTTATGAACACCTGCCCACATCGACAGCTGCTCTAATAAATTGTCTGTGTCAACTCACTTTTATAACATTTATTCTACACAATAACCACGTAAAAAAATCTACTCAAATAAATTGCATTAGTTTTATTCAAAATATACAGTTATATAAAAACTGATATATTTTAAGTAAAGAGGAAGCAAATTTAATTTTTTTGGTATAAAACAAATAAAATTAACTAGATTGCAATTATTTAAAGTAGATAGAACCAACTTTGTGAGTGTAGCACTTTTTACAGTGTAATAGACTGGAAAAAAGCCTGGCTATTACCTCATAAGTGCTGCATTCCCAATAAAACAAAAGAGGGTCATTTTAAAATTCTTTATAAAATATATCCAGTGAATAGTACTTTGGCAAAGTTTTTGGAGATTTATAGTTCATGCATATTTTGTAAAAGTGAAGACGAAACGCTGATTGACATATTTTTTCATTGTGAAAACACAAAAAGCTTTTGTAAAAGCTTATATCTCCATATGGTTAAATACATTGCTTCTTCCAGACACTTACAACTTCAAGATATTATTTGTTACTATGAAGGTAAAACTGATATATCAGAGAACTACATTATTAACTTTTTTATTTTGTATGCAAAATATTTTATTCACAAACAAAAATTCTCCAATTCGCAGCCTTCTTTTCACATTTTTTAATTGAAATGGATCTTTTTATTAAATCTCTTAGACTAATTATTAACAAGAAAAGTGGTAGATTCTTGGATTATTAAGATAAATATTTTGGAAATATCACGGATACGTGAGTCCTTGCTTCCTCTTGCTGTATCTGTGTTTTGTATGTATCTTTGTTTAATTGTTTTATTTTTTTATTATTTTTTCTCTCTCTTTGGTTTCTCTTTTAATAAATTTTTTATATGTTTATATTATTTATCCTGATCTGTTATTATCATTGTTTTGTGTAAAATTGGATTTTGTATGTTTGTTATTGAAGTCAATAAAAAAAATAATAAATTAATTAATTAATAATAATAAATAAATAAATAAATAAATCAAAGAGCTTAGATCCACCAAGAGGTGACACTCTGTTGCTACGTCGGCCATTTGGAAAATGAAATTCCAATAGAACAACAGCACGGATGACTTGTTAGACAGAGTGAATCAAAATATTGAGTTAAATATGAGTTAATATATGATATATTCATACACCCCCATTGAAAGCAACATTTGAAACAATATCTCAATAAAAAGAAAAACAATTTCCAAAATGCAGACAAGACTACGTTTAAAGGGACTTTAATTGTAAGCAAAAAGTGAGCAGTCGTGCCAAGGCAAAAAGCAGTAACGTCCACATGACCAATATTACAGCCATATTTAATGCTATCATGTGCTTTGGCTGCATTTGCAAATAACTTCCAAAATATAATACATAATATATAATTAGTTAGTGTAGTTTGAAATTAATTGTTTACAGTATTGGAATATTTGAGTTTGTGCATTGTAATACTTGCACTGCATTGTTAAACTACATTTGCATTGATTTAGACTTAATTTTTAACTAAGTCATGACCTAGTTATCTGTATATCAGCGGTTACCAGACTGTATATTAGCGGTTCCTAAACTTTTTCAGAGTTGGATACTTCTTCCTTTTGCATTCTCTCTTGTACTTCTACTGCAGTCACTTTTCCCATTAGGTGCAATATTTGCAATTTAGATTTTTTGAAAATCCATTGAATTATTTACCTTTATGGATTTTTTTAAATAAATAATTTCTCAAATAAAAATATTAATAAGAAAAATATGCAAGTCTAGTAAAATTAGGTTTTCCATGTAACAACTAAAACCGCCAGTAGGTGGCAGTAAGACACTGTCTTAAGACATTTGTTCAGTAACAAAGCAACGGTTGTGTTTATGAATAGGTCAATGAATCGACTCTCTCACGATTCAAAAACGATTTAGAAACGACTAGACCGATGATGTGAACGCCAGCAGGTTGAAATGATGATCATAATTGTGGATTAAACATCTCTGTCCACATTAATTGCAGTGGATTTTATTGGGTTACAAGAAAAGGTAGGAAATGGTTTTAACTGCAAACTGTTCTGATTCATGCTGAATGCTAACACTGTCAGGGCATTCAGTCAACTAACCTTGTGCTAATAGTCAATATACTGTAGTCCCCGACTGCACTGAGTGAAAAATACAAATTATGAGGCAAAGTGGATTCAGTGGACAAAATAATTTAAGGCCATACTGCAAAAATGAGTAACTTACACCCTAATGATGGTTTTAACAAAACGTTACTAACGTTACAGATAAACCTCAACCACATTAGTGAGTTTAAAAAAAGAGTTTTTAGAGCAAAATAATTGTTTTGATTAAAATAAATTGTTTTCTTAAACGGTTAAAAACTTGCCTATTATTTATAAATTTATCATGTGAATACAAAAAGAAGACTCGAAAAAATGCATGACAAATTTGAATATTTGATTTTATTGAAGCTCTCCATCAACACCCCCAAACCCCCCCCCCCCCCCCTCCACACACACACACACACACACACACGCACACGAAAAAAGCCACTAAATGATTGACTATTACTTTGTATTAAATTTTTTATGAAGTTTTAAACGGGACAATCACGTTGCAGCTTGGTTTTATTGGAATTTAGAATGTCACGTTTCATCAAGTTCTAAAGATGACGTTCTGCTGAACAGGCGCCATTACTCACAATCCACTGTAGTGTGAAGATATACGAAGACTTTCTTCGTCTTTACTGACAGTTATTTGTTCGTAGATTTGTGCTTTTCAAATTGTTAACTATTTACTCTTTAAAATGTTTACATTACTCGGAGTAATTGCTTTAGTCCTGCGGGGAAGGACAGAAAACAAACCCCATCGAGAAGAACCCGTGGAGAAAAACTCTCCACCCACGATGACCAGTGATGGTAAACCATATACCGATGCTATAAGAACACCAAAGTCTGCATATAGGGCCCTACACTCGCTATCGTGGAAGTTTTTTATTATTAATTTTAAAACTTTATTTGTTAAGTTTTGTTAATCAGTTTTATAAAGTCTGTAACATACAGTCAATGTGTATCTAAAGTCGATTTAGTATATTTCTTCAGTTATTCTCCATATTTCCAAACTAGCACGTCAAGTTTCTGGACAAACTTTAAACATACTTAATTTTTACATATTATTTCTCTTTTAGGTCGAGATATTGATGATAGGACTGAACACCTGTCATCGGAGGAACCAAGCACCAGTGGTTGTCCAGTCCATGTTGACGACCACAGTGATGTCCTCCATTCTCCCATCACTGCACCGACCCTCCAAACTCCAGACCATTCTGCAGCTCAAAGTGTTGACGACGTCCCTACAGCCTGTGCCACGTCCGACTGTAGTGAGGATGATGTCCTTCAAGCTGCAGTGCCTTTGCTAGCTGACTTGTGTGCACGTGTTCTTCAGGACACTGAGCCACAGTCATGCCAGCAGCAGGATATGGAGAAAACTGTGACTGGTCAGTTTGTTCACTTCCACATTGAGTAATTCAATGAACATGCACAGATTAGACGGCAGTTTAACAGCAGTGTAATAATAAGTTTGTGAGAAAAATGGCAAAACCTAGAAGTGCTTTTCTGTTTTGTCAAGTGTGAATAATAACAGATTAAAACATTTGAATAAATGCCAGCCTGATTAAAATAATTAAAGAACTGGAAACACTTTACTTTAATGTTTGATTAGTTAATGTCATTTAATGTATTTGCTAACTAGAATTAAGAATGAAAATATCTTGAACAGCATTTGCTGTGAACAATGACAAATACTTACATTTCTTACCCATATTCAAAAAAGAGCAAGACAAACAGTTAGAAAAGACAATCAGCTAAAAGTGATTGTACAAAATTAAGGAGCACTCTGAATATTTATTGATTTCCTTCATTGACAGAGATGTGTTTGTCAGTGCAATGTTTCAGTATTCAGAACACGACTGAGCATTTACATCCAGCAGTGTCACTTTTTCAGTGTATGTTTGTTTGACTGCGTTTTACATTTATAATGGTGGGCTGCAAGACCCCAAGTAATCACTTCAAAATGTACAGCTTGCAATAATATGGCAAATTAATCTTACAATTATCAAATGTGAATAAAACAATCCTTAGTTATTACATATTATTTCTCTTTTTAGGTCGAGAAATTGATGATTGGACTGAATACCTGTCATTGGAGGAACCAAGCACCAGTGGCTGTCCAGTCCATGTTGACGACCACAGTGTTGTCCTCTATTCTCCCGACTGCAGTGACGATGATGTCCTTCAAGCTGCAGTGCCTTTGCTAGCTAACTTGTGTGCACGTGTTCTTCGGGACACTGAGCCACAGTCATGCCAGCTACAGAATTTGGAGAAAACAGTGATCGGTCAGTTTGCTAATTCACCATTAAGTAATTCAATGAACATGCACAGATTAGACGGCAGTTTAACAGCAGTGTAATAATAAGTTTGTGAGAAAAATGGCAAAACTTAAAAGTGCTTTTCTGTTTTGTCAATTGCGAATAATAACAAATTAAAACATTTGAATAAATGCCAGCCTGATTAAAATAATTAAAGAACTGGAAACACTTTACTTTAATGTTTGATTAGTTAATGTTATTTAATGTATTTGCTAACTAGAATTAAGAATGAAAATATCTTGAACAGCATTTGCTGTGAACAATGACAAATACTTACATTTCTTACCCATATTCAAAAAAGAGCAAGACAAACAGTTAGAAAAGACAATCAGCTAAAAATGATTGTACAAAATTAAGGAGCACTCTGAATATTTATTGATTTCCTTCATTGACAGAGATGTGTTTGTCAGTGCAATGTTTCAGTATTCAGAACACGACTGAGCATTTACATCCAGCAGTGTCACTTTTTCAGTGTATGTTTGTTTGACTGCGTTTTACATTTATAATGGTGGGCTGCGAGACCCCAAGTAGTCACTTCAAAATGTACAGCTTGCAATAATATGGCAAATTAATCTTACAATTATCAAATGTGAATAAAACAATCCTTAGTTATTACATATTATTTCTCTTTTTAGGTCGAGAAATTGATGATTGGACTCAATACCTGTCATCGGAGGAACCAAGCACCAGTGGCTGTCCAGTCCATGTTGACGACCACAGTGTTGTCCTCTATTCTCCCGACTGTAGTGAGGATGATGTCCTTCAAGTTGCAGTGCCTTTGCTAGCTAACTTGTGTGCACATGTTCTTCGGGACACTGAGCCACAGTCATGCCAGCTACAGAATTTGGAGAAAACAGTGATCGGTCAGTTTGCTAATTCACCATTAAGTAATTCAATGAACATGCACAGATTAGACGGCAATTTAATATTAGTGTATCAATAATTGGTTTGATTAATTTATGCTTCAGTTAGGGAGAAATGTTTAAAATAGCTTCTTTTTTATGATTATTATTTTATTTAAGAAAATTAAACATTTAAAACTGATTTAATAAATGCCTGCTTAGTTTCAAAATTGGGAACACTTCACAATAATGTTCCAATAGTTCATGTTAGTTAATTTATTTATGAAATAAGAATTAAAAATACTTGCACAGCATCAACATTTACTAATGTATTAATAAAATCTAAGGTTATTTATTTAAAGAGATGGTCCACCAAAATTATAATCTTCTATCATTTATTCACTCTTGACTTGTTCCAAACCATGTTTTGCTGTTTTGTTGAACAGAAAAGAAGATATATTGAAGAATGTTGAAAGCCTGTAACCATTGACATCCATAGTAGAAAAAAAAAATACTATTAAAGTCAATGGTTACAGGTTTCAACATTCTCTGAAGCATCTTCTTTTCTGTTAAAAAAAACAAACAATAAAAAACTCTGAATTGTTTGGAATAAATCAAGGGTCAGTAAATGATGACGGAATTTACTACTGTATTTTCTGTACTACTGTACTACTATAGTTAAAGTATTATTATTAGCCCCTCTGAATTATTAGCCCCTCTGATTATTTGTTTTCCCAATTTCTGTTTAATAAAGAACAGATTTTTTTCAACACATTTCTAAACATAAAAGTTTGTTCTGTGGACTATCGAAAAAAAAGTAGCTTAAAAGGGCTAATAATTTTGTCCTTAAAATGGTGTTTAAAAAATTTAAAACTGCTTTTATTGTAGCCAAAATAAAACAAATAAGACTTTCTCTAGAAGAAAAAATATTATCAGACATACTGTGAAAATTTCCTTGCTCTGTTAAACATAATTTGGGAAATATTTAAAAAAGAAAAAAAATCAAAGGGGGGCTAATAATTCTGACTTCAGAATTCTGACATTTTGGGGCTACAACACCCCAAATACTCACTTCAAAATGTACAGCACACTTTAACATGGCTAATTAACATTTCATTAAAAAAAGTTAAATAAAACAATCCTTAGTTATTACATATTTTTCTCTTTTTAGGTCGAGATATTGATGATAGGACTGAATACCTGTTATCGGAGGAACTAAGCACCAGTGGTTGTCCAGTCCGTGTTGACGACCACAGTGATGTCCTCCAATCTCCCAGCACTGAACTGACCCTCCAAACTCCAGACCATGCTGCAGCTCAAAGTGTTGACGACGTCCCTACAGCCTGTGCCACGTCCGACTGTAGTGAGGATGATGTCCTTCAAGCTGCAGTGCCATCAGTTCCTCAGGAGAAGGAGAAAACAATTTTCGGTAAGTTTGCTACCTTGACACTCATTCAGTAATTCAGTGAACATTTACAGGTTTACTTCAATTTAGTAGGGTGTAAGGATAAACATTTCTGTTCAATTTTATTACAGTTTGAAATAAAAAAACAAGCAAAACTTAAAAAATGCTTGTTAATTTTTTTTTACCATTTATTACTATTACAAACATAAAAGTTAGAGGACTAATAATGTGACAAAAAGTGAATTCTACATATATCAATATACAAATAAATTAGAATATATATTAGGATTTTTCAGTCATTAAAAAAAATGGACAAAAATTATTAAACCTTTGCTGCATGAATAAAAATAAAACTAAAAACTCTGCCAAATGTTATCTGACAGAAGAAAACACCAGTAACATTTACGTTTATAATGAAACATTTTTCACCTTTATTCAGAAAATGCTGAATTCTGGAACACTGTGAATATTTGGGAAGTTGTTGTACTCACTCTTGTTCATTCATGCACAGATGTGTTTGTCAGTGCAGTGTTGCAGAAGAGCACTACTGAGCATTTACATCCAGCAGTGTCACTTTTCCCCTCAAATGTCTTTTTGTCCATATTTTATACACACTGACTGAACTCAAAATCCCGTACCGAAATGGTTAGGTGCGAATAGTTAGACCCCTACAGTTTAGTGGGCTGTGCTTCAGACTGACTTCAATATACAGATTGTTTAAATGTTGTTGATAACTAATATTCAGCTAATTTGTCTTTAGAAAATAAAAAGAAGCTCTTAATTGGATTTAGTAGTAGTAAGTGCTGTCACATTTTATTCCCTCATCTCTGATTTCTCTTTAACAGTCATCAATTCACGCCAATATGAAGTTGGTGATGAGCTCGGTGAAGGAGGTTTTGGAACCGTCTATGCAGCGACTCGTTTGGATGATGGACTTCAGGTATGGATCTGAACAGCAATATTAATCTAGCCAATCATTTTTGTCCTGTTATTCTGGTCTCACCATTGCCTTTGCTCATAATTCTAACACATCCACTCTTTTGTTTTGTTGATCAGGTTGCAGTGAAATACTGCTCGATGTTCGACACAACGTTCATCCGCATTGTAAGAAAACTGTGCTCTCTGTTTCTCCTCTGTTCCACAATTTTACATTTCAAACACGTCATGCTAACATTAAAGGATGAGTTCACCCATAAATAAAGTTATGTTATTAATTACTTTCCCTCATGTCATTCCAACCCTCTGAGACCTTTGTTCATCTTCAGAACACAAGTTTAAATATTTTTGATTAAATCCTAGAGATCAACTCTACATAAAAAGCTCCAAGAACACTTTTAAGACTAAAAAACAAAGGTTTTGGTTCCTTTTCTGGACTTTGAGCATCTCATTGCTATTGATGAAGGATGAGGGATTTGTGTTGCTAAGATGAAAGAAGCTGTCAGAGTATTGAAACAACATGACGGTTTTTAATAACATAATTGGGTGAATTAATTCTTTAATCACAGACAGCAAATAGTATTTTAGTAGACAATCGACTGATTTCAATTCTTTTACCACTGATTCATCATAAAAACCTTCTTTCTTCTAGGATGGTTTTGCTCAACCACTTCCAATAGAAATTGTGCTTCAAACCCTTGTGAATCAAGGCCCAAGGGTTCCTGAAATTATTGAGCTTCTGGACTGGAAGGTGGAACGTGACTTCTACTGCATGGTCCTGGAACGGCCCATACCCTGTCAGCCCTTGAACAATTTCATAGAAAGCTATGTTGGGTCCATTGATGAAGATGACATACGGTTCATCATGAAACAGGTCGTATTCGCAGCTCAAACTTGCTGCCAAAGAAAAGTGTTACACCGAGATATCAAGCTGGAGAACCTTCTGATCAACCCGAACACCCTTGAGGTCAAATTGATTGACTTCGGGTGCGGGGATATCCTCGAAGATGAGGCTTACACAGACTATTCTGGTACGTATAATCCCTTTAAACTGTGGTCATGACTTGAGCTCTCAAGAAGTAATTCACTGTTGTGAATCAACAGAATTCTTGCTTAGTAATGAATATTCAATTAAACATGCCTTGTTCACTGAAACAAAATCTCTTTCCTCCAGGCACAGCGGAGTATCGTCCTCCTGAGTTTCTGGAGACTGGCAAATACCACGGAGAACCAGCGACAGTGTGGTCTCTCGGAATAGTCTTGTTTGTAATGCTTTTCTGGAAGTTTCCAACAAGACGAGAACTGAATACGATCATGAATAAAGACATAGAAGGCCTGTCAGAAGGTGAGATCTTCATTTCAGCACAGAACAGTTGTAATTTGAATTACCAAAAAATAAATTTCAAGGTGATCATGTCTCTCTCTTCTTTCTGCACAGAATGCTGCGATTTTATGCGCTGTTGTCTCAAGATAGACCCCAGAGAGCGGATTAAACTGGAGCGACTCAACCGCCACAGCTGGATTAAGGTAAATACATGTTAATGAGTTTAATATTTTTGATTTGATAAGTTAGTAGACAATACGCATTAGATTTACAGTTTTATGTAAAGTTGTATATTCAGTCCTAATACACTATTTTATATTCATTCTTCATGTTCTTTAATGTCCACTTTCTTTACTTTAGGCATGTTGCCTATATTTGTTTTATGCAGGTTGTGTGATGACACTAAATATGATTTCTGTTTCTGTTTCAGACCAACGAAGAGAAGAAGAGCAGCGAAATAATGGGTCAGTTTGGTAGTTAACCCAGCACACGCATGCACACACACACTTTTATGGCAATGTCTTTATTAATGTCAATATTTAATCAGCACTCAAATGTTTTATGTGTTTTGTTTAATAATAGATGATAAATAGCACAACGGTTTTTCCACATTAGACAAGATTTCATTGTTCATTTGTTTATGTGTGTGCGTTGAATATGTATATTTTACATGAAGCATAAATATTTCTATAACTACTACTGTTCATTTAAACTGTCCTGTTTTGTGTGAATTTAGGTACAAATACTGAGTGCGTATATGAATCAGACAATAGTCTTGGATTAAATAAACTCTCTACTGATTGACATTTTATATCAACATCTTTGATTTTTCTTTTGACAGTCATCAACTCATCCTCTTATGAACTTGGCGTTCTGCTGGGTAAAGGAGGCTTTGGACTTGTTCAAGCTGCAACCCGACTAGAGGATGGCCTTCAGGTATCGTCAATTTTCATCAATTATTATCTTTATCACCGCTTTAAATCAGAGTATCAGATAAAAAAATAATAGATAGATATATGATTCTTATTTTTGGGATAAATTAAACTGCTTCTTTGTTAAACTGTTCAGTGTTAATGACTGAAAATCAGCCTGATCTCAAGAGAAAACTGAACTATTTTACCTTTTGTCTAATTGGTATGAATTTATGAGTTCATTCGTATGAAAATGTATGATTTTTAAAAGGATGCGTGGCACCAAACTCCAGCCCTAAACCAAAATGTCAACCTGGATAAGCAAATCACAAGAATGAGATTGTACAAATTCAGACGAATCAGCCACTAAATCAAAAAGTGACAAATTGCCATGAGATAGCATTGGACAAATGTGAACTCTGAACACAATAATTGTGTATAATTCTATAACACATGCTTTCTTTGTTCTGTTGAGCAGGTGGCAATTAAAACTGCCTACACCGAGAACGTCAAGTTCATCGACATTGTAAGTATGCTGTGCTCTTCAACTCTCATTCACTGTTACTTTAAGTATCTATAAATCACTAGACAAACTGTAATTGTCATCATGTTTTACACAATATCCATCCAATCATCATAACAAATATATTTCTTCCAGGACGGCTATCCGGAATCCCTTCCAATGGAGGTTGCTCTTTTAGTTCTTGCAAACCAAGAGCCCGCAATACAGGAAATAATTAAGCTTTTGGACTGGCGCGTGGATGAGGACGAATACATCATGGTCCTAGAGCGGCCCATGCCCTCTGAAGAGCTGCTCTCCTTTCTCCTGCGCCAAGAGTCGATCATCGATGAGGATGGGGCACGGTTGATCATGTGGCAGGTAATATTTGCAGCTCAAACGTGCTGCAGACGCAAAGTCTTTCATCGAGATATCAAGATGGAGAACATCCTGATCAACCCGGACACCCTCGAAATCAAATTGATCGACTTTGGATGCGGGGAAATCCTCACCGATGCTCCTTACACAAGTTTTGCTGGTATGTATGATCCCTTAAACTGTGAAGTGAGTCTCAAACTGTAGTGATGAGTTCACAATAGACTCTGAGTGAGTCAAGCTCTCACATAGCATCATAGAATGGAGTCCACTAATCGATTAATACTGTCGATCTGGTGACTAATGACTAATGGTTAAAACCTCTCTCATTCAGGCACAGATGACTATGTCCCACCTGAGTATCGGATAACTGGCGAGTACCACGGTAAAACAACGACAGTGTGGTCTCTTGGGCTACTCCTTTATGTGATGATGTGTGGAGATTTTCCAAATCGACACGACCTGCAAATGATCAGACGTAACATCTGGACCAAAGATCACTTGACAAAAGGTAAAATCTCTATTTGGGTCAAGGAAAGAGGTCAATCTGAATAATACAAACTATTATTTATTAATTAAGTTGTGGAGTAAATCTGAGCTCTCTCTCTTCTTTCTGCACAGAATGCTGTGATTTGATCCGCTGCTGTCTCCAGATCGAGCCAGAGCAGCGAATTGAACTTGAGAAACTGAGTCTCCATGACTGGTTTAGGGTATTATTTACATTCTGAACATTCTTTAATATTTGCACCTTTTTTTTATCTTCCTAAATTTTCATAATTGTTTAAAAATCTTTTTTAGATATTCTTTGGTTAATAATGCATTAAATAGCAGACCTCAATTTTGTTTTTGTTTCAGCCTGAAGACGTGGAAAGACCTGCACCCGAGAACCGCATCGTCCATCAGCAGTCAGAGGATCCCTCATTTTTTAATATTCCCTTCTTTTTACTTGTTAGTTTTTTCTTTAGATATTATTGTATATTTTAGTATGACTGATGATAGTAGTTAAAAAAAACATAAACACTAAAAAAAGGAAGTTGTAGCCAGCCATGACAGCAACCCTGTGCCACCTCAAGACCAGAAATCTTCAAGACCCCAGACTCAGGGACCGACTGATTCATCAGCTGTTACGGCATCCCCATTTTTTATTGTATTTTTTATTAATTTATTTTATCAATAAATATTTTGTTATTTTGTGGAAATACTAATAGTAGTTGTGCAATAAAAAATAAAAACATTGTTCGGCGACCATGTAAGCAACCCAGTGCCGAATGAAGAAATGCTATGTGAAACACACCATAGTGATGTGCAGAGCTCTCAACCACTGCAAGACGAATGCACAATATGCACATCAACCATGTACATGGTACATGCTGAACTGTACATACAAATTACCGACATTTTTTAAATATAAAGTGAACAGGAAGTGTTTGTGGAACAACAGTGTTGCGACGGAACATAAAAGATCTTTGCCAGGGAACGCAAAACTATTGCGAGGGAAAACAAAACCCTGGGAGGTAACGCAAAAACTTAAAAATAGATATTTACCTCATTTTCCTCCCACTGAGTTTTTTTTCCCCACCATCATGTCCCTTCTGGGTCTCAGTAAAATAGAAGGTACCAAACTGTATGTTTAATGTTCACTGTAATGTGATGTTTACTGTTGTATTGTATGTACATTTTCTTTTTGTTCAATAAAAAATATTGCACTCAGAAATGGCATCTCCATTTTTTTCATTTCACTTCATTTTTTACTACTTTAGTCTTAAACTTTACAAAATTACTAATGACAGTAATGCTATAAAAATAAAATAATAAAAGGAAAAAAAGTTGTACGATGGCCATAATAGTAACCCAGTGCTAAGTTAAATTCATCATTGTTTTAAATGTATACATTATATGAATTATTTTATTGTATATATTATTTAGAAATAATATATTAAATTAAAGCATATATTAGTGGTGCACGGCATTTACCCACCAGTCAACCTCAAACAATTTACCCAACAAGTTTCTTTTAATTCACCCAACTTTTAATTTAAATGTTGCTTTATCGCCTGGGTAAAATCAACATCAATATCATGCTCAATAATTGACGTTATATCAGAAATGTCACTGAACAACATTGGAAAACTTCTCACTAATCCAATGACGTCAGTTTTCTTGGTAGCTGGCTCATCAAAGTTGTGAGCATCTTAGAATTGTTTAACCTACCCTCAACTGTATGTCGCTGTTACGTAAAGAGGCATAACCTGTTGGTGGTACGGAAGGAACATTTTGCCAGTGATTATGTTCTCACCCCTTTAATAAATAAAAAATAAATAAATAAATAAATACACCTTACGGTAAGAATGTAATAAAGGAAAAACTTGCTCTTAATTATTGTTCATAATCTGATTCGTACATGCAATAAACCTGCACTGCACCGACAATATAGGTGCAAGTTACTGACTTAGACCAGTAATATACTTTTTATAGCTATAATAATAGGCTATGCACACTTTCGCTATTACTGACTTTATTAATGAAGGTTAGCAACAACACCGTTTATTTACGCAGACACGGATCGTGGCTTTAGTGCCAAAGGAGTGGTTTAAATTATGTTTTATTCTCCTTATTTCTTTCTGTTTTTTTCTAAATAACATAAATGTTTAAAGTTTTAGGAAAATATGTCAAACTATGCCTACACCAGCAAGCTAACCCACTTTTTATATAACAGGTAAATAAATCATAACCGAGTCATCACGCTTCATTATCACACCAATATCAGCGTTAGGAAAAAGGTAAATGTTACAATTTAATGTCATCTAAAAAATAGTAGCTAAATGTGTTACTTAGTTACATTTTAAGGCATTGGTGTAGCAAAACAGAGATGTCCGGAGTGCCTGTTTTGTCTTGGAGGTTTGTTTTGTTTAGGTTGTCCACGTGTATTTATTATGGTCACATGTTATGACGGTACTCAGCTGTTTTGATTCAGCTCAGCTCGCCAGTTGAAGTTTATTATTGTGTCCTATCTGGGCAACGCTTCTATGTTTCCTTCTCATTTCGTTGCGTTTGCTCATGTGTGTCTGTCTGTGCTCAAGACTGTGTGCAGGTCCTTCTCAGTATCTTTATTATCACGTGACAAGAGAACTCTCTACCCTACATTATCATGCAGGATACCTGCAGCGCAAGTGAGAGGTTGATCTGTGGCATCCACTTACTTACTACCACTATAAACTTGACCTCGCAGGCCGATCATCTTTAAACTCAAGTCATTTTTTTAAGTGTTCCAACTTGAGACTGCTGCTGCATAATGGGATGTTTCTTTACACAACTGTAAAAGTGCGCTTTAGAAATGTCAAAATGAAAGCAAATATTTTTAAGGGTTCTGCGTTTTATCAATTTTATAGCTTAGTTTTAATAATATTGATGAAAATGATATAATGATATGATATTATAATATTAACTATAGTGTAGACTATTGTAGGACTGTGCAGTGTCCAACTAAACATTTTTTTAGGTTACTCCTAATATTTATCCTAACTGAAAAACTAAAGTGAAAATGACTAGCGGTTGTGTCACTGCTAAAATTAATTTAACAGCAAACTTCTTCTGTGTTTTTCTCTTTAGAGCTCAAGAGAGTTGTATTTAAAGAATTAGTTAACCAAAACATGTAATGAATTAGGCGGCTGGACCTTCATGCCATCCACTAGTCCAGCCTCCGCCGCCACGTGTACACTTTATAGGCTATAAACGGTGCACCTAAACTGACGCGGAAAACCAGCTCTCTGGACTATTGCTTTAATTTCACATTTTACATAATTTACTGCTTTTTCATATAAAAAAATTATAATAAAAGATTAGTAATTAATAACAGAATGAATTTTCAGTTTTGAGTAAACAAAACCACTGCAACTGCAACACCGGTGGTCTTCCCACTGCATTAATAAAAATTTTCACTGTCACAGGGTTCTTGCACCATTTTTAAAAGTAAAATTTAATGCTTTTTAAGACATTTTTAAGGCCTCAACAAATATAATTTAAGACCCAAAAATTATATAATTTCTTTGGAATAGGCTACTCATTTTAATGTTTTCGTTAAATAAATCAAGCCTCGTCACATTATGGATAACCCGCAGTATCTGCCTTTTGGGTGTCTGGTGGTAAAATGAGACTCTGAGGGGGCGTCTGAACTAGAGCTGTTATCAGGCTATGAAAGGTAGGCCCGATAGAGCCCGAACCCGACAAGTACATTTTGATTGACAGCTTTTAAAAAGCCCGAACCCGTTTATAGCCCGACATTATCCAAATGTGCACATGCACAGCTCTTTTGTCTTTTTTCATGAATGAGTTGTTTATATGCATTAACATTATCCATAACATAGGCTACAGGCCAAGTTGGAACAAAAAAATAAAAAAATAAGCCCCCTGTAACATCTTAACATCTCAACACTCTAAATAGGCCTGGGTACATACACTTAACGTTTGAATTGGCCAACACACCAATAAAAATAAGTCTTTCTTAGCAAATAAATTAAAATAAATGATAAATGATGACAGATATTTGGCAATAACGAAATTAAGATAAAGGCTCAGTGGGATTTGTTTTGCCACTTCTCTTCACAGTAAGGCGATGGTGAAGCTGAATAATGTAATGCTCAAAAGAATAATGCCAGCATTAGCCTGTATACTCTGCATACATTATGATTTCATTAATATTTAGTTATAATTTGAAATTCTTTACTTATAAAGATTAGGTTATGCGTTTTGTGGGGGAACATTATTGAATCCACTGTAAATGGCTTTAGCGCAGTCCTGCGCTCACTGAGCAGCACTGAACACCTTTTCTCTGCTGCTGCTACTGGCCAGAATACACTACTGATCTGGCTAATTTGTTTTGGGTAGGATTGTTTGTTCATCTTCCACCAGTCAAGAACATTCATTTCATTTTCCATGACAGCGGTTTCAATGTAGCGAGTGTCCTCGTCATGTCCTGTCAGCTCGCTGGACACTGCTCCCAGGTGCTCTACCGTAAAACGCAGTGTACGAGCGACCGCCAAAATACCTTTATATACCAGCTGCTAGAATGACTGTTCGAATAAAACAGGCGGCTGACCTGACCGCTGACATAATTCGCTCTTTTTGACATCTCTGTCATCATTTGATTCACCTTTGCAGGGATGGATTTCAATGTTGTAACAAACAATTTTATTACTATTTTATTACTTCCTCGCGCTAATCGAAATGCATCACATGACTGTTCATTTACTGCGCAAGCCCAAGCCCGGCACAACCCCGTCTAAAATGATAGAAAAAAAGTCTAATAAATCACGGAGACTGTCATTTCTCTCCTTATTCACATACTGAATTAATCAACTATTAGATGTTTTACGGTGGACCACTGTGCTTCCCTATCGTCATTAAGCAGACCAGCTGAAAATTTAATACCTACAGCCACTTTACGGTAAAATTTAAGACAATTTAAGACCTTAATTTCCCAGATTTTAATTTAAGACATTTTAAGACTTTTTAAGGACCCGCTGGAACCCTGTGTCACAGCCCTATATAAACATGTACGAAACTGTGAAAAATATTCAGGAACAGTGGTGCTTTTTGAATCAGAGAGTCACTTGTCTTTCAATACAGCTAAAGGACAGCAAAAAGTGTGCCCAAAAAAGTTCTCCCCCAGTGAGTCTTGTATCACCTCTCGTGAAGCGAAAAGCAACCACAGAATTTCTTCCTCTCTCAAGCTCAAAAGAGTATGTGAGAATTTATAGACCTTATCTGTCTGATGAAACCTCTCTAAAGCACCTTGACTCTCTGGATGATAAGCAGTGGAGATGTTATGTTTAATGGCGAGTCGTTTAAGCTCTTGAGAAAACGTTTGAGATGTAAAATTTGTTCCATGATCACTCTGAACCAAAGACCGTGAAAAACTTAACCAGTGTTTTGGTGATTGCTCTAGCAGTTAAAAAATGTAAAGGATTGGCCTTAGGAAAATGTGTAGTTGCGCATATAATCGTAAACAGGTAATTATTGCCAGATTTTGAATGTGGAAGAGGTCCTACACAGTCGAATGAAATATGCTCAAATGCTTTAGAAACCATCGGAATTAGATAAAAGTGGTGCAAGTTGAATTTTTTGGTTGGGTTTCCCAACCACTTGACAAATGTGTCAAGTCTTACAAAATTGTGAGACCTCCTGTTTTAAATCAGGCCAATTTAACTTTCGCAAAATTCAGTCGTACATGTTTAAAACACCTAAATGATCAGCTGCACTGTTGTGTGCAAAGTCTAAAATCATGTCTTAATAAACTACTGGAATTACGATTTGGTTTAGTACATTCCAGTTTTCAGTAGGACTTGAGGAAACCCACTTTCTCATTAGAATTCTTCAGCTCTAGTCAAGCCAATTCAAAAAGTAAGGCAAGAGTAGAATTAGATTTTTGATCATCAGTTAACATCTTGGGACACAAAGACAAGTCAGTTGGGATGTAATCGGTACAAATATGTGACAATTTAAACCCATTGAAATGTTGAATGAAACGCGATACATGTTTTGAGCAGAGGGGGCGCTGTGTTTACAGGCATAATTCTTGCTTTACCTGCAAATAAGAGGGTCAATTGACCACCTATGTACACCCTGCTCTCTGGTTTAGGAAAAGCTTACCTCTCCACACTAGCCATCTCAGTTTTTATCAGCAGGGGACACTGTAAAAGTGCAAAGATCTCAGCT